CCAGTAGGCATCACCAGTATTCTTTCAAACATCTGTCGTTGGCCCCTAGTCAAATCTCACCTCAGCTATACCTACTCCTGTTGATTTCAGAGTAAGAATGCTTCACATTTGTAACTGTCTAGAAGTTGACACTGATTTGTAGAAGTTTCCTAAGCTGCACACAACAGTTCATTTTTCTGCACTAATCGTACGGAACAGAAAGTGGCCGTCCATCCCAAGAGTCTCTCCTGCAATCCCCCACGGAAGACACAGTGGCCTGCACCATAGTGGGGGGCAGAGGCCTCCATCTCTGATGTGTCTCTCTCGCTTACTCCTGCCTGTAAACCTCAGCTGGGGAGGAGGCAGGAGAAAAAGATCCATGACGTGGCAAGCTAGGAAGGAAGAGAGCACATTCTTTTTGTGGGGCACAGATTGTGAGGTAGTATTTTACCTGTTGTGATAAAAGTCAACCCTAGTCGTCGGGCATGTGCTTAGGTCATTTTGACATAAAACATATTATGGCGCTGGTGGGGAGATGAAAACCAGGTTGGAGAGGTTGGGTTCTGGGGCACCACAGGTTCAAGTTTCAGCTGCTGCTGGGTGAGAGGAGAATTTTTGTAATGCTGCAGGTGTCTTCCTGTCTTGCGTGATGTCCCAACTCAGGACAGATGCATTGATTAGGACTGTTGCACTTGAATCTCAGACATGATGGAAAAGGAAGGGCAAGACTTTAGGGAATATTGCTGAAGAAAGGGGATGACTCACTTGAGACTAACATCTCCGCCTGCTGTTTAGGGCCCTATCCCCGGCGGTGGTAGTAACTACCACAGATACTGACGAAGTGATGAAAACCCCACTGAATATTCAGTTCATGATTGTCCACATGATTTTCTGGCTTTACAAGTCCACTCACAATGGGCATTTATACAACGTTTAATCTGGCTCATAAAATAGAATATCATCCTCCAGTAATGGACCCTAAGTCAGAGTCCCTTGTTCATTCTTGTAGCCCTTTATGCAAAGTAAATTTGGCTAAAGCGCCTGGCAGATATTTCAGCTATTGCAGAGAAATACAATGGGCTTGTTTTCAAAGTGACTGGGACTCACGATCATTGTAGAGTTGCTGAGAAGTTTGCGTATTGACTTAAGTGGTTCATTTTGCATGTTGATAAATGAGGTTGATCAGAAGTAAGAGAAACCTTCCATAACTGTTTTTGGAATGTCATTTAGGCACCTGCTTCTGTTCTAGATATTATGATAGAAAGATATGATGGATGTACCCGTTTATCAAGGTCTATGTTAATACCAATTGCTGTTGAAGCCCTTGATTTGTTTAAGAAAGAACAGACTCCTCAGCTTTCTCCTTCACAAATAATCTCGGTGACCATCCAGTAACTCATGACATGTTCTGAAACACAAATAATATCTCAGTGACCGTCCAGTAGCTCATGACATGTTCTGAAACCTACTTCTTTTATGAGTCCTAGCCAGCTCAATAAATCCCCAGTCTTGATGGAAGAAAACCAATCTTCAAGAGGCAATAAGGGCAATTTAAAGATCTCGTGTTAAAATCTACACTACATTTCATAAATATGCCAAATGCTTATTGTATTGCTATGATGTCTTCAGCTTCTCTACCCTTTATCTTTAATTATTAACTATGTACCCTTTTTCACAGTTTTAAAGCAACAACAAAAATCAATTGTATATAATTATCAAGTGCAGAAAAGTAAGACTGGGGAAAACAGACTTTAAAAGATAATTTAGTTCCGCTCCCTCATTTTGCAAATGTGGGAAATGAAATTGCAGAGGAGTCCAGGCTCATACAGCTTGCGTGGGAGGCTCTGAGGCAAAGACCCCAGTGACCCAGTTCCCAGTCTAGACTCTTCCTTTCTCCATGCATGAATACCCTGAGTCCACTCAAATTTCTCTAATTCTGATACCAGTCATTGACTTACAAAAATTAGAGTTGCCTTTAGGCATTTTATTAAAAAGTATTTTGGTATATGTTAAGTATTTTGTTTATATCCATCTAGATTTTTTTGATTCGTGATCTCTGTCATTCTCTGGCACTGACTAGAACTATTTAGAATGTTTCCTTTAGTCTAAGATTTGTCTGAAACATTTTACTCCAGATAATATGAAGCTGAAAGCTACCATCATGTCACAAATGAACTTTAATTTTAGCATAACCAGTTTCAAACTTAAAATATCATCATGGTAAGAATAATTCCAGTAGCTAGTTTTTTTTTAGTGCTTTTAGATGTGCCAGGCTCTTTCCTTAGCTTTTCACAATTTTGCTGTTTAATCCAATGAAGTGCATGCAATTATTACCACTTTTTGTTTTATAAGTTGGAGACTTCATGTCTGGAACATCTTAGAATTTGAATAGCTTGTCCGGGATTGCATAGCTGATCAGGCAGACTCAGATTTTGAATCTTTATCTCATACAGATGTTCACTAGTATAGAATTATAATACCTCCAAAATTTTGACTTGCAAAAAGTTCACTGTTATTTTAGAAATTGGATAAATTTTCACCCTAACAGCATTCCAAGATAAATTCACTTAGTCTACAAAGTAACCTAAATAATAGTATTTAGCTATATCACATTTTTAAAAATTGTCTTAGAGACAAAAGCATTTGCCTTTTATTTTTTTAAAGGTTTATTTTTTATTTATGCATACAAGAACTGGGGTACAGTCCAGAGGTACAGGATAGGGGGGTGACAGGATTCACCAGAGACCGAGTGGAGAGCAGAACAGGCAAATATACTGAAATACACTGCTGAATCCCTACTGCAGCAGGCAAGAGAGGAGAGGTTTGCTGTGCCATGTGGGTAGCTCCCTGGCCGGGGATCGAACTGGTGCTGCAGTGGCTATGGATAGCTTCCTAGTGCTGAGACATAACCCTTGAGCCACCAGGGGGGCCTTTTTTTTTTTTTTTTTTTAATGAGAAAATTCTCTCTTGAAGAAGGGGATTAGTGAAACTGAAGGTTCTTTGGCTGCAGGTTCCAGAAACTAGTATCACCTGGTTCCCACAGCTCCACCCCTCCATCTCCAGGAACCTGGCCTGCCTCTGGCTTGAAGGAAGTCAGGTGACAGTGTCTGCCCCATGCCCACAGCCACTCCTGCTGGCAACCAAGTTCTTGCCAGCCAGGCTGCCATCCTGACTCATCCCGCATCTCTACCCTCCGCTAGTTTAAGCTCCTACTTGCCTACTTTAACCACAGGTAACCTCTCTCGGGTGGGTTAGTTCTGCTCTCCCTACACTCAGTGTTCAGCCTAGATGAGGGGCCCACACGGATGTCAAGCCATTATTCCAAAACTCCTTGTTTATCCTCCTAAGTCTAGAACACCTAGCCCTTTTAAAATGATGCCTAAGTGGACCAAATACACTTTTGATCTTAAGATATCTGGGTCTTGGGAGAACCTGTTCACTGTGGCCATAGCAGTTTCCATATCCAGTGATAGTTTACCCGTTCAGGTGGATCTCAGCATCCATCATGTAACTGTACATTGGATTATTGTGGAATGTGCTGTGGAACATAAAAAACTTTAGAGAGTTATTTTTTAAATACAGATCTGTTCATTTAAATAGAATTCAAGGTTGAAGCAATCTCTCCCATAGGTGTGGACTATTTTAACTTATTTCATAAATTCATATATAAGCCATTATATCTATTTGCACATAAGTTAAGACATATGCAATGCATATTACATGCATAATAATAAAGATATATAATATATACCATTCATATACAAGTAAATACATATGTTTTGCATTTTTCTATTACAACACTTTTTCTTAAGTAATTTGACTATCAGAAGCCAATTGACTAATGAGTAACAAACACTTCTGTTACGGGAGAGATAGGTAGAAAGATGAAAAGCCTTATAAAGAGAGTGCATTTTCTGCTTTGGTAGGTATCTCTTTTGACTTCATGTTCTTAAAACTATGTTTCTCCTCTCTCAAAAAGGAGAAAAAATAAATGTTAATCCTTTGCCTTAATTATCCTATTGTTGATTTATTTATAAACAGAATTCATAAGCCAAAGTGTGGCATAGTGATTTCAGTGAGCATTTTGTCATAAATTCTCACTCCTCTGTTTTGGGGTGTGTTTGGAAGTTTGTTTTGTGACTGATTTTTATATCCTGCATAATCAGAATTCTGTAAACTGCATAAGTAGACATTAGAATAAAAGGTTTTCTCTGGGCTGTTTCTAAAGCACCTCCTGGGTGCAAGCCAGCAGGACATAGTCACGCTAGCTCACCGCTCTGAGTAGCGACATAATTCAGCCTGTCCGTGTATAGACAGAAGGTCCTACTATGCACAAGCTTTGCTGCCAGATGTGCAGTAAGTTCTCAAGGTGCAGTCTGTACCTGCGGTGACCAACATATCTGGACCTGCCACACAGCATTCCTGGCACTATGTTTGAAGGGCACAAAATGGAAACGACTGAGCTTTTCAGCTGATCACAATCAAATCAGAACACATCAAAACAGCTGGTGTTCTGTGACTCAGACTCAATCAGCCGGTTTTCAATCACCTTATACTTTATTTCCCTTTACAGTTTCACAGAAGAGATTTAAACTAACATATGTCCTTCCCGTTTGGTGAAATCCCTGCTTTGAGTTGCTTTGCTTTCATATTCGAACACCAGCGAATGAGCCGGACTCTTGACTGTATGATTAAAAAAAAAAAAAAATTAGCATTAAAATGATTTTAAAACCAATGTTGTTGCTCTATTTGTGTTAAATAAACCATATGTTCAAATAAAGCACCATCGATGAAAGGGAAAATTGTAAGGGTATGTTATGGAATGAGGATAATTCTGAATCTGTGGAATTAGGTAATTGACAAATATGGCCACAGCGATGATAAATTTCTGTCTGAGTTTAAAATTAATATTTTAATGATTATGCAAATACTGATATCTTGGGAAATTCAAAATTAAGTCAGCAAATGAAAGCTAAAAGTTATATGTTGGCTCCTGACATTAGCTCTTTTTGTTCTGGTAGGTACCGATTACACCATTCTTTGGCGAAGGCTGTTCAGCGCTGGTGACCTCTTCCGATCGGACACTCTACAAATTATTATCTCTGGACGTCCAGCTGACACCCTGCCGGAGGCAAGAACTACTAAGCCAACTGGAACTGTGCCTTTTCTCTTGTCAAGGCTTTTTTCTTACAGAGGAAAGAAAAGAAAAAATGAAGTTGGGCAGAGTGGAGCTCTGCCATTTTCTGCAGCTGATCGCACTTTGCCTGTGTTTCTCTGGCATGAGTCAGGCTGAACTCCCCAGGTCCAGATCCAAGCCCTACTTCCAATCGGGGCGGTCCCGGACCAAGCGCAGCTGGGTGTGGAATCAGTTCTTTGTGCTGGAGGAATACATGGGCTCTGACCCCCTCTATGTGGGCAAGGTAGGACATTTGACATTTCAAGGTCACAGGTGATTATTGTTGATGTCTATGGGTGGATGGAGAAGTGCTCCCTTCTGTCCTGGGGGTGGAAAGGAAATCAACCAGTGATAGAGTTTGAGAAGTTTCTGGCCCCGGCCATTTTGATATGTTAATCTGGAGATTATCCAGGACAGTGAAGTCATCTCTGGGAGGGATGCGTCCCTCTAGAAACAGATGAATATGGACCTACCGATGCCTGGTCCACAGGAGAGAACCGCGCTAGTGAAATTTATTTGCAGAAATGCAACAGGAGTAATTGCCAAGAAATGAAGAGTAGCAAGTTCTTACAGCCTGTTGGTTCTTTTAGGTTCTTTGTGCAAGGTTGCTATGTAAGAGGCTGACATTAACTTTATGCCTATCTGTCCTTTCCTGCGACAGTTTAAAAAACTCTAAAGTGGCATTATTGAGATTATTGTCTAAAAATTGTGAGCAGTTCAAACCTACTTTCTCAGTGCTGGTCTTGTTTTGATGCTTTTTTGTTTTTTTTAATAACTCACTCTTTAAAGTTCCTTTTGGTTAAATATGAACATGCACAGACGTTAACTAGGGCTGATAGATAGTGCATGGCCGGTGAGCGGTTTGGGGTCTTTATTTGCTGGCCAAGTGGTCAGTGAAATTGAGATGTTTTTCACAGCTTTTCTGTCTGGAATTGGGCAGGGGGTTTCCATTCAGGAGTCTGCAGGACTGGAGGGCTCTTGTAGAGTGTGCAGTCTCCTCCTGTCTTCTTCCAGTCTCTTGTCCATGTGTTTCGATTATGTTCATATTTGTGGAGATTCCCTGATTTTCTCCGTCTGGGCCTGAGCACTGGGGAGGGTTTTCTACATGGGGTGGATTGGCAGGAAACCTGTATATCTGCGTTTTTATTCTGTACTTTGTCATTTGTGTGCATCTGTTCCTGAGGAGATGAAGCACAGCAAACTGCAGAGTTTTTATCCATGAATGCATTTTCTACTTTGAATGATCGAGGAACTTTTGCTATTTGTTTTTTGGGTAATTCTCTTGGACACACTTTAAGGAAGGATGAAAAATATTTTTTTTTGTTGATGGGTATCTATATCAATCAAGGTGCTCTTTATTGTAGTTAGTATTTTGCTGTCATCCTTCATATTTTACAACTACTGACTGATACTCTATTGTAAACAAAAAGATTTGAATAAGTTAAAGGTTTCTAGGGATGTGGATGAGGAGTTTTGAAATCAGTCATAGCATTTTTCTGCCCAAAAAGGATTTATAAGTACACAAGTGTTTTAGTTTGTTTGCATATTTTTTTCATAGTCATGTCTCATCAATAGTTTCATCTTCAATCTGTCATCTTTGTGTTCTTATAAACAAAGTGAGAGCAGTAGCCATCAGGCAGTGTTATTGACTAAAAATCTAGCTCTTACTTTCATTCATTTTTAATGAATGTTTAACAAATCCAAGCTTTTTTCAATGAACAGGCCTATAATATTCAACAAATTCACAAATAGGAGTGAGGTAAAATCATGCTTTTCTGAAAAACTGAAATTTTCTAGAGACAACTAAAATAGTTCCATTAGGTTTTAAAGGGAAGAGCCTGTGCTGAATGGAAAATATTTAAAAAAATACCATTCTTTTCAGTTTTATAATCTTCACATAATAATCCAGAATGCTTATACCCAAACAATCCCTATCTATATCAATTCAAACTTATGAAAATGCATGTCCCTGAGGTTATTCAAATGTATATGAAGCTACTGGGAAATGCTATTGTTATCTTTCCTGACAGAAATTGTGCAGATTTTTATTTGGTGATGAGAAGTATCCTCGCTTTCCTTCCAATTAATCAGAGATAATTGCTTAGCAGATTTTTTGTGACGGGAAACAAGTTTGTGTTTATGTCTTGCCTGTATCAGGAGTTCAGTCCAACCACTCACAGTGAAATGTTTAGGATGGAAATGGGTTAAAATCAACACTTCTTAATTGACTAGAATACAGAAGCAAGGCAGTAGTGAATGTGAATTGGAGAGAGGATACATAAACAAGGAGATGCAAAATGAAAGACCTTAGATGAGCAATTTCTGTATCTGCTTGGGAGAAGGGGCTGAGAACCAGTATACTTGGGCTTGTGAGGAAGAGACAGCCAGGGGATTCTTTGATGGGTTGGTGTCTGAATGAGCGGAGGGATGAGAAAAATTTTGACCCCCCAGCACATCACTTGAGGATGTAGAACAGACACATCTTCAGTTTTTAATTGAGGGAGATAATGGTTCAGAGCAGAAGCTTTTACAAGACAGGGAGAACAAAACTATAGGTGATGTAGAATGAGAAAGTCAATAATCACGGGCAGAAAAAAACGAATTTACTCAATTGCTTGTCACTGATGTATATTTATTCTCTATCAGCGACCTGACTACTCATTCTTAGTCTTCCTGACAAAATCTCATGACTTAGTAATTTCAAAAATGCAAATGATGACCTTCATAAACTCGGTAGCTTAATTTGATCCTATGGGTAAGTATAGGCCAATTCAGTTTTATTGCTGATTCTACCACTCACTTCTGCTGGTCCTGCTGCTTTAGGGTGCTTTAATCAGCGTCCTCATCTCCAAAATGGAAAAATGATACCTATAATGCAAATCTTTTTCAGAGTGTAAATGAGATCAAAATATTTGGAACATACATTTCATTAATCTAGACATTGTCTTTAGCTACTGCATATTGTAGATTAACGATTGACTCAAGGATAACCTATTGTGTTTTGTGTCAAATGTTGTATTCAAGATCCTTTAGATGAAAACATGCTTTATGTACAAAAATGTTCAAAGTAGTATTGAAACTTATTTCCATAAATTGGAGGGAAGATGTGTTTGGGTTTGCTTAGCGATATGGCATGTCTTTGTATTTGCATAAGATTGGATTATTGTGAAATTATAGTTAATGGGCAAAGGATTCAGTTCTTAAACACAAAGACTTCAAATGGAAGATAAATCATTTCTGTATTTTTTTTTAGTTCTTCAAATGTGGAGACCACATTACTGACTGGTAGCCAGCAAGATCAGTAAATGAGTGTAGAGTAAATAAAATTTGATCATTAAAATGGAGGGTAATAACACTCAGAAGATAACTTAGGACTTTATCATTTTCGCCAGTTTACTGGGTTTCTTTAATATGATAACTACAAACCAAAGTGCCACAAACCATTTGTCAATGGAAGACAAATAGTACTTCCAGAGACCTGGAAGGTACAGACTTCTGGCCTCTATTAGCATCTGCCGATATGACCTGCACCTGTAGCATATCACCTGTGAGGTGGTTGACTGCTGACCTTAAGTGTACAGACTTGGGGACAAAGTCCCTGTGTTACTCAGAGGGAGTTTGGTTTCAGAAAATGCAGTGCGCATTTCCCTCAGAGTATTTCTTTGTTACCACCGTGCCTGTTTTCTTGTCCTTTCACAGGAGAATGAAGTGGAGTGCCTTTTCCTCTCTTCCCATGGCTTTCTATCACCCTGCACAGGCTGTTTAAGTGCATGGCAAGAAACAGTCTCCAGGCCGCTCATTGCATCACAGCGCAATTTGCTAGTCCAGTCTTTTCCTCACTTTGGCATTCCTCACTTACTGTCTCCTAACCATCTGACAAAAAAATTTGTCTAGAAAACCTCCCAGACTCTGTTCCAGGTATTAAGTGTTTCCATCTCCCAGCTGTAATGGGCTGCCGACTGCTGCGCTCCAGGCCATTACTTGCACGAAATGTGCCTTCCTGCTCCTTCCACAGTCTGCTTCCCTCTCTGTTAATATCATTCTTGCTTTTTCTGCTGCCCCCCCCTTCTTCCTACTCGTTCAAGGAGAATTTATACCTATTACCCAGTCAGTAGTGAATGCTTAGAAATGCAATGTGGGATTCTGTTTTCAATTTAAGCTCGCTTGGAAGAGTTGGTGGCATGTTGGATGCAGTTAATGGCACCTCAACGGTATCTCCCCAAGAGAGTCGCTTTCTTCTGATAGCTAAAGCTACACTCAGTGTCCCAGAAAAGAAATTGTCATTTTGAAAATAGGTTGTGTTTAAAAAAATCAGTTTTGAATGTGATTCCTTGACTGAGCATATTTATATTAGATGCAGTGAAAGAACTTAATGACTCCCAAATATTAATTACTTAAAGAAAAACATATTCATCATAGTAGCATTTACATTTTCTAGTTTTTGGAGGGAAAAAGCAGCAAAAGTATGCAGATTGCCTAATTCCGCGCCTGTCTTGGGAGAAAACAAATGTGGTTGTGTTTCTCAGTGAGTATAGGAAGTCCATTTCATGATATCTTCCCAAAGTGAATTGGGAAGACCCTTTCTTATCTTCTTAATACTTTTTGCGTGGAAATGTGGGCTCCTGGTGACTTCAAAGGGATTTTCGACTTGACTCAACTCTGTGGGCTGCAAATAAGTTCAGATTTTTAGCTGTCCTTTTGGGCAGTTATTTATGCCTCTTCAATACTCCACTAGCATGGAAGTATTATACACTTTTTTGCACATAGGATCAACAATTCAGAGCTTTTGTTTTGTTTCCTTTAAATCACAATGACAATAAAATGTCAGATTTTGCCACTAAAATACAGAAACCTGCTATTAATTCAGTTTAATATTGCTCATTTTCTCTTCAAAGTTATCATAGGTTAGAAATGAAGGTTATAATTACCAAAGGCTTTATCAGGTGAGACTCCAGCAAAAACTGGAGGAGGGATGAGTATAGTTATAAACATACTTATAGTCAAACTACATGGTCTAGATTGACTCCAGATTTTCTGATTGTTCACATTGGTCAAGATCATGTGAAAATGCCAGCTGTGTGTGTGTGTTTGTGTTTATACACAATTGTCACCCATTTGGTGATGGGAGAGGCAAAAAATAAAATTCAGGCTATAGACTAAACACAACTGGTATAGCAGTTGTGTTTTCACATTGTATTTATGTTGAGACTTTTTAAGTGCAAAGGTACAAATTACAGTGTACAG